CGTGAATTGGGCTGTTTGAAAATTCCAGAGCATGCCTCTGTAGTTATAAACTGTTATTACAAAGTAAAATAATCTTTGGCTTTGTCTCCTGTCCTGTACAGTGAACTGGCTTTCCCTCATTAGGTTAGGCAGTGTATATCCAATGGAGAAAGTGAATTTTTGTTTCCCTGCAGATCGCTAGGATCCTCCATTCTGAATTCTTTATTTTACTTAGCTTTAGGGCAGTTAAAGCCTCAGCAGCTCCACAGAGAGGAGTTTCTCTTCAAGGCTGCTGCTTCAAAGGATTTGCAGAGCCGGGAAAGGGACAGTAACCAGCAAATGCTGACAGATCTTCCTGCTTCTGGCCCTGAAAGTGTGTGTGTGGTGTGTGTTTGTGTTGTTGTACACCTACACATTGGCCTGAAACCATCAAGTAGTATCCAACGAGGCTCATAATGAAATCTCCCCATGTTAATGAGTACACTGGAAAGAGGGGAGAATCTGCAAAGAAGGGGAGGAAAAAAATTGTTTGGTCAAAAGGAACGAACCCTTGGGCTTTATGTTCAAAGGCATGAGAGTTAACAAGGTGGAAGCTTAAACTGGTTTTGGCTTTAACTGTATCAAATACCCTTAGTTTGTGGGGGGCTGGGAGAGGGGTGGAGTGATGGCCTCACTATAGTGTCAACACTTGGCATGACACTTTCCTGAGATAGAAATGGAGCTGTCTCTACTTCAACACCGCACAAGAGGTTTTTGCGAATATTGAAATCTGATTTAGTAATATTGATGCGGTGATTGCCCACAGCTTTGCCTTGGATTTGTGAGTACTTGAAATATTCTTCACGGAAATCCAACCATCTCTGTGTCTACAAACTCAGGAAACCAGCAAAACCAAGCATTTTGTTGTTGTTATGTGTTGCAGTGGAGTAGTAGATGACTCTGATGGTCAGCTTATCTCAGCTGAGACGTGGTGTCCTTTAAAAACAAACAAACAAACAAAAAACAACAACAAAACAAAAAACCAGCTACCTTTGATCACATCCAGTGCTTCAATTAATTTTTTCTTACTTGGCATATACAAGGGCTAATGGTACAAAGGAATATACTGGCCAATATGACCTCATACCAAAATACATCAATTCTTTTCAGGACATCTAGTAGCATAGATATGAACACAAATTTAACTCTATGTAAACCTCTGTACTCTAATTTTAACTTTCATTCAAACATTTTATTGCATGTTACAGTAACAGGACTTTGTACTTTGCATCACTTGGTAAATAAGCAAATATTAAGCTAATTTTAATGGAAATTCCTTGTCAAGATTAGGAGCTCTGATAAACGGGCTTTGGCATTTTGTGACTGAATGGGGTAAGGGCTTACTGCCTCTGATGGTCTGGCCACTTTTTTACAGGAGGTTAATGCCCTTGTAGGTTGGATAGCAGAAGCGAAGGTTATGATGGCTTCTGAGGTGGAAAGGCACCCACCTTTCCTGCATTGAAGACTTCGTGCTGTCCAAATAAAAAGGCTTCTCAAAAGCGGACGAGTCCTCTAGCATCCAGTTTATAAGACTTGAGACTCATTATCTTGTGACGTCCATCCAAAAATATGATAGAGAAATTATGAGTGCAAAGGCCCCTATGCGGGCATGAGGAGTTGTGGGGTTTTGTCAGACATTGATCATGAAACAGGAACCACTAGATATTACTGCTTCCCAGAAAGAGAAAAAATGTCTGAATTTGTCTTCCCCCCCCCCCTTTTCTGGTTGCCATACTGAGTAACTGGCTTCTAGTCTGATAGTGTTTTAGGTGACTAGAATAACAGTCTGTCTCTTTCCGCAGTGGCTGCAGACAATCTGGCAGTAATCACTGTTACTTTTTAATATTTCTGGTTATTTTGAGATATCCTCCAAATGTCTCAAAGAAGGCTTGGAATGCTGAAGGGGAAGAAGTATTTTTATTTTTATTTTTTCTTTAAGGAATAGCGGCATCAGGAGGAAAATGAAATTCAGCATGCCACTATTTGTTTTTGCAGTGGTCATCACCCTGATTGCCAGCTCTGACAATATTTTCACAGAAAGGGTAACTAAATAGATGGTATTTGTTCTTTATAATAACTCTTTCAGTAGAATGTCAGGACCTGCATCTAAATGAATATATTCACATTTTCATGCTCCCATTTTTTATTTAAAGCTTCCCCTCCCAACTTTCTGAAACTACTTCATACAGACTTGGTAAGTTAAAATGAGGGTTCATGTAGTGGATAATGTCACATTTCAAAGCTAATCTGTGGAGACCTAGCTGCGTGAACCTATAAAAGCTAGATCAGATTTTTTTTAACTTTTTTTACGTATTAAGTGTTTGTTTAGTTTAAATATGTCTGTATCTTTTTTTTGATCAGCCTTAGCAATTTGCATGCTATGCAGCAGTCATCTTCTATACTTTATTAAATATCTGTCAATTATAAATATCAAGGTTTTACATTAATGTCAAGATAGTACATCAAAAATTCATGGAATATGTGACTTTTTTCAAGGGTATTTAATACTTAATGCATTTGTGTCATTTTTCTTTCTAGATATATTGACAGGTTTTATTAAGTGTTTGTTAGGGAGATTTCATTTTTACCAAGGGACTATAAAGAGAAGCTGCATACTAAATCAATTTTTTAATCAGAATATTGTTCTTTCTTGTGTGTCTTCAGATTCTTGTAATCTATCAGGGTTTTTAAGCTATGTAGTAAAATAGTCTAAGTCAGAAATCTAACATGCTGACGTATCTTAACTTTAAAATAGCTACTGGAATATTGTACCGTGGAACGTTATCAATATGATAATTCGGTACACTAAGATTTTATTCTGCCTCGTGTCTTTTAAGACCGTGCATTTTGTCCTTTATTGTAATTTACAAGTGGTTATTGTGAATTTACAAGTGGTATGTGAATTATGTCTGGGGGATCCCCCTATAGGGGCAGCCCCGAAGTTTCACAGATTTACAGACGGGGAGGGCTTACGGAGCGTTTGGTGGCATTAATTAAACGTCCCGTGCAACCTGCTGATTCAAGACCCGTTTTCCCGCCGGAGAGGACGATGGCCGCACGTACATTATATACGTTGCCCTCCTATAGGTGTTCGCTCGGCGTCGGGGTTGAGCGCGGTGTGCCGGGGGCGGCCGGCAGGGGGCAGTGCCGGCCCGCGGCGGCGGCGGCTCCGCGCCTCGGAGCGGGGAAGGGCGGGG